TTCACTGTAAAAATATTGAAAAAATTTGTTTATTTTTAATTTAATTTTTAATAAAAATCATAGTAATAAGACTTTTTTTCTCTCGAAAGCTCTCTAAGCTCTAAGCACAGTTGCGTAAACAAGCAATAAATAACCCAGACAAATTGCTGTTTTTTTTTCTTAAATGGGATAATCTAAAATGTAATGTGTTTAGATTTTGGGGTTGTTGGGGTATAGCCCTCCCCCTTTCCGCATCAAAATTTTATCTTTCAATACCGCTGCTCAGTGAATCCAAGCCAAATCGTTCTATATTTATCTTTTCTGCCTTTCTCAACCTTTTAAAGTCGATGCCAAAGTTATGTTATTTGAATATGAAAACGGGAAGTGGTCTGTAATATGTTTACCATCGAAGTTGTGCAAGTTTTATCCTCGTTTACTAAAGCCATATTCGTCCAGTTTTGCCTGATTTATGATAATGTATACCGTACAAAAGCTTAATCAAAGCAAAAATGATTAGTCGATGAAATTGCTTTAAAACGCCCTCTCGTCACATTTGAGCTTTTGCCGCTTATAAGTCATTAGCATGCTCTTGTAGTGTCACTTTTATACCTACGCGTCAAGTAAAAAACTCGTCATAAATATGCATGTGAATATTAAATATTAAAACAACTTACTTAGTACGAGTCTGGAACTGAAAAGAGAGCCCCCGAGACTTCAAACGGCGCTAAGTGGTGGAGGGCGGGTGTTTTCGACGCTTCAAATTGGATCCGGAGAAAATTTGCACTTTGTACAAATTAGCGACACCTCGGATAAAAAAGAGGGGAGACTGCTGAGATTAGACTAGACAGAAGAAAATCAAAAAAATAGCTCATAGTTTTTTAATACGTTTTTGATTTTTTTTAATCTTTTTATTCTTAATCTTTTTTTCTTTTTTTTGTATGTTGTATTGCTATTAAAATATAATTTAAGTTAGCTTTAAAACTAAACTTTTTTTATAAAATAAATTTGGGGTCTAAATCGTCTGAGAAATAAAATTCGAGTTTCTACAGTACTGTCACTTTCTGTCAATTGAATGATAATTAAATTTGTAAATTAGAACTTGGATTTTTAAAATTTTTAAATCATTTGGAAATAAATCAGTTTGTAGAACTGCTGCATTAAAAAAAAATCAGTATTGGCAGATTTTTGGGACATTCTATACATTCAAAAAAATTTAAAATAAAAGTTTCATATGAATTTGTATCAAAAAATACTTTGTAAGAGAGCTATAATAGGTGAAAGAGATGCAGTTTTTAATGAGTTTTTTTTTTATATTTTAGATTAGATAAAATTACAAAATTTTATGCAGTTGATAAGTGTTATACAGGATGTATCAGAACTCACGCCCCAGAGAAAAATTTCAAGTAAGATAAGGTACCAGGAACATGCAAAAAATGTTTAAAAAATTCTATCTGTCAAAAAATTTTGACATTTATTTTTTGGCATTTGATACTTTTTTATGTCTATTTAATGATACTGATGGTTTTGTATACCAGGTGAATAAAAAGTATGGAACCGAACGTTTTTTCCTTAAATTATTTATTTTTTGAAAAAACTAATTGATGAGTGATAAAGAACTATAAAAATGTGATGATTTAACAAGAATAAAATTTTTCGAATTTTTTTTTGTTTTTGAGTTCTACAAAAAAAATATTTTTTTTAAATGGCAACCCACTATAAAATCATTTTTCTCATAAAAGCTATACTCTAAGGATTACAACTATCTGATTTATATTTAATTTTTTTTTTTAATTTTTCGCATAAATTGCAATTTTGACAAAAAATCGCATAACTCAAAAACAAAACAAAATTTCGTTCTGAAAATACGATCACATTTTTTATATTACTTTAATTTATATTAATTATTATTTTCTGGAGGCAAATGATTAAAAATAAAACCGCTTGGTTCCATACTATATATTCACCCTGAATATATTTTTATAATTATTTAGTTAAGGTACAAAATTTTTGTCAAAAAAGCCACAAATAACATTAAACAGAGTTACAATTTAGAATATAGCTTCCTTGTTTCCTCTTCTAAAAGCCTGTAGCAAAAAAAACTTGGAAAATTATTTTCCAACAGAAAAAAATCGAGTCAAAGTGCAAAATTTAAACTCTTATAACCTCAAAATTTTTATAGATACATGTTCCTGATATCTTACCTTCTGACGCACCCTAAACAAATTCAAAAATCAAATAGCAAATTTTTTAATAGGGGCGCCTAATTGGAGGGGTATAAGAAAAAAAATTGAATATCAATTCTGTTTATGGTCTGTAACATAATTTTTAAATTGATTTTGCTCATAAACAAGAAGATTTTTTTATGAGAAACTATGGAATTTCGGATTTTGTTGCCGAAAGTGGCAAAAAACTACAGCCACAATAGTTAAGGTACTTTTTATCCTGTGCCCTTCAGTATAGAAGTTAATTAAAGTTTCGACATTTTAATTTTGAATTTGTTTATGTGTATAAAGGTTATCAAGTTGTAGCAAATTTTGTAATCTAATATGTATTCTGAAATATTGGAAAAAACCTATTAAAAAACGCAACCTGTTCAGGGGATGTAGCTTTCTTTTCGATACATCTTTGTTGTTTATAGAAAACTTTCGTCTTAAAATTGAATATTCTATCACCTGCTTCGATTTGTAACAATAAAAACGGGACACTCTGTATATAGAAACATCTTCACCTTTAAATCTAACTAAAATATTTATTTACTTATAAGGAACGGGTTTTAATAAAGACATATTTTTATCATTTTATCAGTATAATATGAAATCAGTTTTATTTCTGGGCGGTAGAGCATTTGATAAATAATATTCCGTTTTGCAAGGTAAGGTCAGTAAAAAAATCACAGTGTACACACAAGACAAAAACTGAAACTATTCTTGTTTTATTATTTTACCAAATATCAGAGTAAATTAGAAATCTGTTTTAAAATTTAAGTTTTAGTTTTAATTAAGAAAGAAGTTTTTGGGCACAATATTTAAAAGTCTACAAGTTTGTAAAATATAAAGGAACTCAAGTATTTAACTGTTTGTTTCATTTTTTTCTCAAGGTTTGAATAACTGATAAAGCAACTATCATCCTCGTCATCTTATCTCTTTGGAAATCCCAGAAAACAGTGTATAAATCTTCTGATTTTTACATTTTCCTTTTCTTTTTTTCTTTGTATTTCTTCAAATGTGAAGTTTTAGTTTGAATTTTGAGGCACAGTTTTACGAAATTTTGTTTACAATTCTTGACTTGAAAGTAATTGGCTTATTTTTTCCTCAATCCTCAAACTATTTTTAAAACTTGATTGCATTATCAGTAGGATTTAATAATGGAAATTCTTTTGATAATTGATATCACAACTACTATAAATTTAATTTAAAGACAGTGTACACACACTTTTCACAATGTCTCAACGCCAATCCTCAAATCAAAGAACACAACTTCGTTATGTTGGTACTCAAGCACCCTTCATCGGTACTCAAGACTTCCAGATTGCAAATTTTGCTCTAAAAGTCAACATCAACAATATTCGTCGTTATCTGGCCCACGAACTTGCTTCAAACAAGACATATGCTATCATTTGGGAAGTCGCCAAAGAGATTTATGCCGAGGATGTAGAAGACGGAAGGTATGTAGCAAACGCTCCTCCTGAATATTATCAAGCCATCATCGCGTACTCTTTCGAAGATAAAGGTTTCCAAATTTACGTTGATTTTAATTCAGAAAGCCGAAAAATGCAAAATCTAGCTTCTTGGAAGGCATTTCCCTACAAGAGTCTCTACTGCTTGTTGGCCCAATCGGTGAAATATGTGAAGAGCATTCCAAATGCAAGAGCAGAAAGATTAACGATTTATAGAGGATTAAATTTCAATTATTCTTGCCATGTCAACCAAACAATTTCTTTTGGTCAGTTTGCATCGTTTTCGACTTCTGAAGGAGCGGCTAGGAGGTTTATTGGAAACAGAGGGACCTTATTTGAGATTCAGCCACAAGTGAAACCCAAAACTACGGTCGGAATTATTCCTTATTCTTTTATAGAAGACGAAGAAGAGGTTTTAGTTATGGCTTGGAGTCAGTTTGTTGTAAAAAGAATAGAACAAAACAAAGTTATTTTAGAAAGTGTTGGTAACAAAACAGTTAAAGTTTAGCGTAAGAGTGGTCTAAATCTTATCAGAAGTTGACAAAAATCTGTTATAACTTGACAATTTTAGCTCTTTGTTTTAAACGTAAAGTCTTAGTTTTAATAAAAAAGTTAAAAATGCTTGTTTTATTTTTTCCTCAAACCTTGAATTATTTTGAAATAACTGATAATTATATTATCTCTTGACTTATCCTTATCTCTATGGAAATCTCGCAAGACAGCTAATCACCAAAAATTTAACAAACAGTATTGTATTTTTGCATTTTTTACTTCCTGTAATTTGAAAGCTAATTGATTTTAGTCCAAATCTACAGGTGTTTTGTTTTTATTGTTTCAAATTTAAACAGGAGAGAGAATTTTAAGACAAAATAAGTTTTCTATGAACAGTATCGAAAAATGCTACATAAGGGAGCCCCTCAAAGGGTTCGTTTTTCAATGTTTTTTTTTTTTTTCAATATTTCAGAAACCTTTTTAGGTAAAATTCCAAAATTTGGTGCAGATGGAAAATATTTACAGTGTTTTTCTTTTGGCTTTCCTCTTTTGTCAAATGTATTTCACTATTTCTCACCTATTTCTCACCTACGTCGCTTTGACATTAATATATCAAATGAAATTGATAAATTGACAAAAGAGGAAAACCAAAAGAAAAACACTGTATACACCTAAACGAATCCAAAGAAAAAATGTTGAAATTACTATCAGAGGCTCCCCAAACTATATGGGTTTAGGGTAAAAAGTACCCTAACCATTTTGTCTATTGGTTCGTGCCACATTCAACAACAAAATTCTAAATTTTATAGTTTATCATAAAAAAGGTCTTTTGCGTTTTTTCCCTACAATTACCGATTTTAAGTAAAATCCGTTTTAACATTTATGTTACAGACCATAAACAACAACAAAAATTAAAAATTAAATTCGTTTTACGATTTAGGACGCCCTTCATTAAAAATTTTGACAATTTATCTTGGAATTCGTTTAGGTGTGTAAGCTGTACGAAATTTTGGAATTTTAGGTATCTATTCTGAAATATTGGAAAAACCCTTAAAAAATCCATCCCTTTTAAGAGGGGCATTTTTCGAAACATGTTTTTATCAATTCGTAACAATAAAATGGAAAACCATGTATTTCTGTATCATTTTTTATATAAATTGTTTTTTTCCTAAAAAAATTAATTTTGAATTTTTTTTCTTTAATATTCGACAGGTGTTTTGTTCACGACACATCAAGACAATTTAACACCTGACTTCTTTTGTAGAAATACAATAATATTTTTGTTTCTGATAAACTATAATTATTTTATTAAATCAAATAAAGTACTGGAATTTTGGCTTATGGTTCAAGTTAAAAAAAGACAAAAAGTATTGACTGTGCTTTTTGATCGCGACAAATTTAAAATCTTATGCTGACTATTAAATTCAAATCTCGCAATTTTTTGAGGAGGGCCGCTGGTATATTTTTTTTGCATGCATTCTGAAATTTTTAAGTTTCTATTGACAATTTTTTATATTTTTCTATCTTAGGATTTGTTGAGAATTTTTTTCAAAGTTAATGCAAGTATACAAAATTTTTAAAGTTGATGTTTCTGAGTAGTATTTTAATCTTCCCAATTTTTTAATCTCACAATTTTTTGAGGAGAGCCGCTGGTATATTTTTTTGCAAGCATTCTGAAATTTTTAAGTTTC